CTTGTGAGGCAGGCACCAGAACCACTGAGCTAAATCCCCGGCCCCAATACTTATTTTTTTTAAATTCATTTTAATGGATTCCTGATGCGATAAGCTCAAACTAAATCTCTCGATTTCATCAACTTCTTGTATTTCTCAGCAAAACTAAATGACTACCATATTCATTGACCTTTTCCTATTATTTAAAATGGTCATTTAGTTGGGCACGGTGGCACATGCCTATAATCCCAGCACTCAGGAGGCTGAGGCAGGAGGACTGCCGTGAGTTCGAGGCCAGCCTGGACTACGTAGTAAGACCCTATCTCAAAAGGCAAACAAACAAATAAAATACTTATTTAAAACTATGTCCTTGCAGAGACTTTTTGAAAATATATTACTGAGTTCTTATGTCCATTCAAACACCCAGGCTTACAGGATTTACTTTCAGCAAGTATTACCCAGAGAAATGAAAGGACAGGTCACATAAAAACTGCAAGGCTAGGCTCCCACCATTCTCTCCGCTTTTTATTGCCACTTTATCATTTTCCAACCTCGTCTATCTAAAGTCCCTACTCCCACCAAAGAAACCTGAATTTCAGGTTTGCAGCACTATATTACTTTTTTACTTCAAAGAGAAAATGCTTTGCAGTGAGTGATGTAAGGGATGCGACCCAGCCTGTTGATTCTTTGCAGCAAGGAAAAGGCAGACGATGATGGCCTCTTTCTTAAAGACAATTCTTCCCAGGTATCAAACAGTGCCATGAGGCTGGGGATTTAGCTCAGTGTCCCTGCCCCTGCCTTGCAAATGCAAGGTCCTGAGTTCGATCCCTGGTACCAAGGGAAAAAAAAACAAGTGCCATGATCATGCTGTCACCCAACCCTAACTCCACCCACCCACACTGACCCGCCCACCTCCTCCCACAGGTCAACTCCGTCCCCAAACTGCTGGACACCTCATGCAACTTCGGGAGCAGCTCATGCCCTATATCCCAGGGCAAGAGTGTCTCCCAGCCCACAGGGTCCTCCTGGGACAGGGCCCCTGCCTTGGTCATCACAACAAAATCACTGAATAATTCCATCTTCTATGGATGCGCGGCTACCACGACACAGCTCCCCAGTGCTCGAACCTTATCGCATCTTGGCTCTACAGGCGTCAACAGGAAGCCTCTGAAACATGAAGGAAATTCTCAAATCCATCCAGGGAGTAGAATGGCAGATGGAGAACCCAAACTCTGTGCTTTTTTTTCCCAGAAAAAACAGGGCTGGCATTATTTAGTTTTCTACCGTAATGACTTCTACAAGATTTAAAAAATGCGCCACGGTTCCTCTCCCCTGAAAAATCCCTCCAAACTAGATCCTGTATCTCTTCTGATTGCTGGGAATACAAAAGAAGCAGCAGTTGGACATTCAGATAACGCCCTATTAGAGTCAGTGAAGCAGAAGCTCTCCAAGCTCTCCAGAGACAAGGACACTCTCGAATTGAGGCCTGCATCCTCCCCTGGTGCCCATAATATCAACTCAGACATGAAAAGGGCCCAGTAAATACCATCAAAGCAACAGAACCTAACCCTGTAGCATTTGATTGGGAACTCAATTCCTGGGTACGGCAGCAACAGCCAAGGTGCCCTGTGTCGCAGTAACACCAGGGGGCTCCTAGAACCAGGTAGAGCCCCGAGCCAGCTCACCGGGGTCCTGGGTGTTAAGAATGAGGAAAGTCCCCGGGAGGTGACAGCTACACTGAAAGATCAAGTGCACAGAGCAGGAGATGCCCTGTGTTGGACCTGGTAGTGGGCTCATAATTCTCCCATTTCCTCTGCACTCGGTGCTGGGACACAAGAAAGTCCCAATTCTCTTCCAAACAAACAAGGCCATAAGCTGCCTCCAGCTCCCAGCTGCAGAGACCACAGCATGGATGCACCTGGCGGAGGCATGAGGTCTGCGTCTATCAAAAAGGACACTTTAAGGCCCTTGATTCCTCAATCTTGACCTAAGTTCCTCTTTCTTGGTGGCAAATGCTGCCTCTCTGTTCTTACGCACAGGGAAAAAGACACCTGCGGCTTTGCTCAGGTGCTCAACAGGTGGGGAGCGAGATGCTGCTGCTACACAGCTGGCCTGAGTTCTGCCTGTCCCATCGGATCGTCGTGCTAGGACATCTCCTTCGTCATGTGTCGAAGTCACCATGTTAACACTTCCCTGGCATCCATCTCTGTGACAGTCTTAATGTGAGCTAGGCTTCGTCCCTCCCAATCTGCCGATCACTGGAACAGGTTAGAGCTGGGGAACAAAGAAGCCACGTCTCAGTGTGGAAGTCCCAAGACTACAGCAATAATCGCAAATGTCGCTGGGGCTGCTCACGATTATATATTGGTCAAAACAGGTGTGTCATAACCACCTTGGACTGAGGACTCCGTAAACCCAAGAGTCCAGATCTTAGAGTGTTCTGACACACACAGGGGGATGACTTGTCTCCTTTCCAAAGCCCTAGGTCTCAAAGGCAGCACAAGGCCAGGCAGGGGATCATTTGACAAACAACCCCACAACCTATGGGGCCCAGCTAGCCACCTCCCCAAGACATGGCCTTTGGTTTTCTGCCCAGGACCAAAACAGCAGCAGCTGTTGCCAAGGGAGATACAGTGACCAAGAGGTGTGGGTATGAAATCCAAGGATGGAAACTCATTCTTTCTGGATTCACACCCAAGCAACTGGGGCTTTCCAACTGAGAAAAGGTGAAAAGATCAAATCTGCTTGGGGCTGGGCTGTAGAGCTCAGCAACGGAGCACTAGCCTAGCATGAGCAAGGCCTGGACTGAATCCCCAGCACTAAACACAAAGTGCTTCCCAAAGTGCAAAAAATGCCCGGGTCCAAGTGAGAAGGCCGGGGATCCTGGCTTGAACTTCAGAACCATTCTGAGAATTCACAGGCCTTGGCTGTTGGGAGGCTACGGACAAGGAACGTGCAGGCCACAGCTCTCTCCCCGCCCCCCGCGCAAAGCAAATTCACACCAAGGGAAGGGACGAAATGCCTCTCCCACAAGCTGTCACCAGCCCACAGGTTCAGCAAGAGCCACCTTCCCAGCAGAGTCACACAGTCCAGTGAGCCGAGGGAAGCAAGCAGAAAGAGCAAGTCGGTCGGGATGCCACGCCTACCACGCCGGCCTTTCCACCGCTCCCCCTCCCGAGTCTGCTCAAGTTTAAAATGAGATTGTCTGAATTCTAACTGCCTTATCTATTTTCCAGGGGCTGGTTTCCTTCTTTCTTCGAGGACCTCGTAAACCATGTGAAAGTGCTTTTGCAAATTGTGAAACACTTTCCACAGCTGTGCGGTTTATAATCGATACCACTCCCCGCCCCCCTCCCGCCCGCTGCTTGTTTCAAAGCACAAAGCTCTGGCCCTCCAGGCACCCAGGCGGATTAGGAGCAGATTGTTCTTACAGACCCTTCCTCCCATGGAGAAGTATGACGCCTACTCACCCTACCCTTCCCCGCTCCACCAAAAGAAGAAGAACCAAAGCTGGGCCCCGTGTGGTGGTGCACCCCTGTGATCCCAGCACTCCGAAGGTTGAGGCGGGAGGATCAATGCCAAGAGTTTGAGGCCAACCTGGGCTACATAGGGAGTTCGAGGCCAGCCTAGAATACACAGTGAGACCCTGTCTCAAAAAACAAAACAAAGCAGACAAGAACCAGAGCTGGGACCAAATCCCAGGTTTCTCTGGCCATTCCATCATACCATCTCCCCGGTAGTCAACTCCGGTTCCTCTCACAAGCCCAGGGTCTGCTCCCCAGACAGCTCGCACCACCTTCCCTCTCTATTGACTACATCCAGGCAGTTTTGCCCAAAAACTACTTTTTAAAGTCAGTATGCCCACCATATGCGGCATTTATATCCAGGGAAAGGCAGCCCCGAGTTCCAGGGACAGATGTTGCTTTGTGCCTGCCCGACAGGGCTGGCAGCCCTCCAACAGCTGCCCCAGCAGGTGGCCCAGGACGGAGTCAACCCTGGGCCAGAAGTGAGGGCTACAATCCCTGCAGGCTCAGGCCCTGGGAGTCCTCAGTCCTCTGCAGCCGGGACCCCAAGAATCCGCCCCACCCCACCCCACCCCTCCCCTCCCCTCCCCTCCCCTCCCCTCCCCTCACACACTCTCCCCTGGTTCACAAACAGACTTTAAAGGGGGCTGCACATCAGACAGGAGGCCGAGGTGCCAGCATCCCAATTCCCAGCCAGGCACAGCTGAGCACAGGAAGCCCTGGGAGCGGAGAGAAGTCACTGACCCCTTCCACCCGCCATCTGTGATCCCGCCCGACCTCGCTAGCGCGGTGCAAGGATAAAGGAGGTCGAGACAGATGGCAAAGCGCTTTGCGAAGGAGGCTCCGCAGGAATGCGAGGGCCCGAGTGAGGCCCACTTCAGGGCGGGTTTTGTTATCTGCCCGGCGCTTCCCCCTCGGTTCAACCGACTCGCAATCTCTCGGACTAAAGGAAGGGCAAACACCGGGCGGGGGGTGGGGGTTCTGCCGCTGGTCTCTCCCACTTGGAAGTCGCAACCCGGCGTCGCAACTACAGTGCGTGCGTGCACAGGGGGCGGGGGACTGGAACAACCGAGTCTAAAAATACTCGGTAAAAATGCTAATCCCGAAGGCAAAGAAAGAACGAAGAAGGAATCTGTCAATCACCGGGCTCCGCTCCTCACCCACAGCCCCAGCTGTACCGACTGCATTCCAGTGAGGGACCGAAGTGGGGGGACCGAGCCCGAGGAAAAGAGGAGAGAAAGGGACGAGCTCGGCCACCTCCACGAGCCCGGGCCGCGCGCGGGGCGGGAGGCGGAGGAGGGGCTCGGCCCGGGGCCGAACAAAGCGGGCCTCAACTCGGAGAGCGGCCCGCGGGTGGGGGACCCCCGCGGCACCCCCTTTCCCCGGGATGGGAAAGCAAAGCGACCTGGAAGCCGGCGCGCCGCCTGGACGCCGCGGGCTCCGGCTCTGGGGGAGTGCAGAGGTGGTCGGGGCTTCCCTCGCTCCCCGCGCGCCCACCTGGGGATGGTGATGCACTTGGTGCTGGCGCTCTGCGTGGTGATCGCCTTCTCCAGCTCGTCCAGCTGCCCCGTCTTCTTCAGCTTCTTCACCAGGCTCTTGACCGCCTTCTCGCACCACTTCTCCTCCTGCCCGTTCTGCTCGCCCTTCTTCCAGCCCAGCAGGCGCTTCACGATCGGGGGGGTGAAGGGCAGGATGGACGACATGGCTGGGGAGGCGCGCGCGGCGGGGAGCTCGGCCCGGCCCGGCCGCGAGCCCCAAACTTCGCCCCAACTCCAGCGAACTTTGCCGGCGGCGGCGCGCGGGCCCACGGCGGCTCGGGGCGGGGGCGGAGGCGGAGGCGGAGGCGCGGGCCGGGTCGGGCAGGCCCCGGGCGCGGGGCGGAGGCGGCGGCCGCGAGGCTCCGAGTGGCAGCAGAAAGTTAGGGTTTCCGCACGGGGTGGCTGTTTGGGTGCCGCCTCCGGGCAGGAAAGTCCAACCCCCCGCCCCGCTCCGCTCCCCGGCGCTCAGGTCCCCCCGCCCCGCGCGCCGCCCGCTCGCGTCTCCGTTTCATGCAAATCCGCGTGCAGCCTCTTCGCCGGCGCTGTCACCGCCCCCTCGCGCCGGGGCTCCCGCTCCGCCCCCGCGCCCCGCGCCTCCGCCCCCGGGCGTCCTGCCCGCCCGCCCCGGCCGTCCCCGCCCTGCGCAGCCCACGTGGGCCACCGGGCCGGCGGCGACCTCGACCCGGTCCGGACGGGGACCGAGGAAGCCGCAGCGGCTGGGGAGGGGGGAAAAGGGTCCTGAGAAAGGGGCGCCCGGAGGGACCGGCGCGGGACGCAGAGCTCGGGGCGCACCCGAGGAGACGCGAGCCCGGAGCGCGCGCGGGACGCTGGAGGCCCAGGAAGTCTGGGGGCGCTGGACCCCGGTGGGGGCCTGCACCGACGCCGGGACCTCGAGGGCTGCTTTTCTTTTCTCCCCGGTGAGAACTCACCGGCTGGTTCCCCGAAGTAGCTCTTGGAAGTGGAGAGTTGGGGACCCAGTGACAACCCAGACAATAGCTGGAGCCAGGGAAGGTCCCTGGGGCCTTGTGAATCAAGCGCTCCAGAGGAAAAAAATGGACCTGCAGACATCTGTTGAGTCCGTGAAGGAATGAATGGGGGTGCTTTGAAATGTATCTTTGGGGAAAATTTACATGGCCCGGTGTTGCGGAGCCTCGAGATACACAAAGATCGAAATTCGACACCCAGTAAATAGGACTAAGAGCTGTTTCCAAAGCAGTGAACTTGGAAAAGAAAAAAAAAAAAAAGTGAGGCGAGAGGGGAATGCTCTAAGTTTCTGTGTTCCAAGTTAGCCGAGGAGGGAAGCCGACAAATGGAGCGCTCTAGAGAGTCTGGGGCTTTTCTGACCATCTGAAGCGTGCAGAGGCGCCTCAGGGCGGCTTTGGGGAGTCACCGCAGGCCCCTAACGCCTCCCCTCTGGGGTTGGCCGGGTGGCAGAGGCTTTTGTTTGTTTTTAACAGCAGGAAACCCCCTGTGGTGGAAAAGGGGTTATCTGCAACCTGGGAGGGCGGGGAGGTACACAGCCCTGTGGGGTGTGCGGCCAATCCACAAAGTCATCGAGACTTCGGGCCCTGGAGGATCGGAGGAGAGCTGAGAGTCGGCTCGGGTCCCAGGTAGCAGAGCTGGGACTCGAACCTAGCGCTCTGAGGCCTTCATCCACTATCTTGCTGCTGCACTCAGCTGCCTTAGAAGTCGTGGAAGGCAGAGACCGTGCTAGGCAGAGAGTTCTCAGCAGAACAGAAGCGCTTTACTGGGACTCTGTTGGGACATTTCGAGAAATGTTTGTTCACCTGTGAAATGGAGCCAGGACAGCTGCCCTCCCAGCTTCCTGGGGCAGTTGTGGGACGCTGTGTGGAAAGCTCTGCAAGACAGGCACCAGCAAGAAGTAGGCCAGTGCTCCTGCCATGGAGACTAGCGTGGTTGGGGGAGCTTGGCATCTGTGTGGCAGCCTGCTCCTCGTTTCTGAGAACCCTAGAGTGAGAGAGGGTGACCCTCATCCCAAGGAGCTCATGGCCTAGTGAAGCACCGAGGGGTAGGGCTGGGGGTGCTCCTGGGTGGGCACAGAGGCAGGGAAAGGGGCCTGCCAGTTGATGAAAGGTTGACTTTAAGCTAAGCATCAATTCAAGCAAATCTGGCCCTGGAGAGGCAGCCAAGTGAAGCAGAAGGAGCTGGGCTTTGAGCTGCCTACAATGCTGGCTTTTCCTGCCTCCACCCTGGAGAGTGAGGGCCTTGAAGGGCAGCCTTTGGCACACAGAGGTAATCAAGCTGGGGAGACTTGAGAGGTTCCTGGAGTAGAAGGGCCTGGCACGCACTCCACCCTCCTTTTCCTGAGGGGAGGAAGCAACTAGACAGCCAGCGAGTCACCATGACTGGCCCACGCTGTCCCCTGCTTCCTTCCTGCCAACACCAACGTGGCGGGGACCGAGGGGCACACAGAGAAATGGCCTGGGCCCACGCCCATCCGGAAGCGCTGTGTCCACTGGTTCTTACTACCCTGGCCTCAGCCGGTTCACCAGGAGCCCTATGGACAGTAAGGAGCTGACCCTCTTGCAGCCAAGAGAACCCACATGCCCTCTCCACTTTGGACCGTGAACAGCTCTGGGTAGATGCAACTCCACTCTGGAACCTGGTCTCTTGGGGCACAGCCAGGCCTGCCGTGCAGAGGGTGGCCTTGTCCTTGGGAGGGAAACATCAGCCCAGTTAATTTTTCATCAGGGTAAGTGCAAAGTTCAGGAGAGGCCAGGCGGGGGCAGAGGCAGTGGCTTGGTTCCCTGGGAATTGTCAGCCTCGGGAGGGACACTCCACAGTTGGAAGGGCCTCCCAGGCGGACACCTGACTTTGTTATGGTTATTTCCCACCAGCAGGCCATTTCGTCAACAGGTGGTAACTCTGGAAAGACATTGGACTTGTTCTGTCTTTATTTCATACAGAAGGAAGGCCAAGTCAGGACTAGAACCTTCACCATAGGCCCTCTTTCTGGAGGTAATGACGAACACCCGTAATCCCAGCACTCTAGGAGGCTGAGGCAGGAGGATCAAAAGTTCAAGCCCAGCCTGGGCAATTTAGCAAGACCTTGTCTCCAAAAATTTAAAAAAAGGCTGGGGTTGTAGCTCAGTGGAAAGGCGCTGGATTCAATCGCCGGTACCAAAGGGAGAGGGGGATCTGCCTATAAGCAGGTTTGATTCTGTGGACCTCCATAGCACCTTTATGCACCTGGGGTCTCCTGGTACCAGACAGCCCTGGGTTAACCTGAGCATCACTACTTCCGGTTGTGTGACTGTCCACACATTCCTTACCTCTTTGCCTCAGTGTGCTGAGCCATAAAATGGGAACAATGAGAACTTGGGCTTTAGGGTTGTTGTGTTGGATTGAGTCAAATAACACATGTAGAGAGCTTGGTGCCGCACATAGTAGGTCTTCAATATGTGTGGCTGTGGCAGATGCACACCACAGAGCACCCAGCCAGAGTCAGAAGCATTGAGTTCCGTGCACACAAAACCGTCCATGGCTGTTGAATCCATTCAAGTGAAAACAGCCACAGTGATGAAGGATGTTTGAAAAGAGTCATACAATAAAAAGATACATGTTGAACTACTTCACACCCATTAGGATGGATATTAGACTTTAAATATGGAAAATAATACTTGTTGGAGAAGATGGAATGAAATTGGAATCCTTGCACATTGCTGCAGGAGTTTAAAACAGTGCTGCCACTGTGGAAAACAGCATTAGGTGCCACAGAAAGGTACATATAAAATTACCATATGGAAGCCAGGTGAGGTGGCACATGCCTATAATCTCAGAACTCAGGAGGCTGAGACAGGAGGATCACCAAGAGTTTGAGCCCAGCCTGGACTACATAGCAAGACCCTGTATGTCTCCATCTGTCTATCTGTCTGCCTGCCCCCCCCCACATGTGCTCACACACATGGAAAAGAATTACGATATGGCCCAGAAAGTCCTCTTCTGGGAATACACACAAACGAAACAAAAGCAGGGATTCAAAGAGACATCAGCACGCCCACGTTCATAAGCAGCATTATGTACAGCAGGCAAAGGGAAAAGCAACTCCAGTGTCCATCAACAGATGAATGAATACACAAAATGTGGTGTTTGCACATAATGGGATATTACTTAGCCTCAAAAAGGAAGGAAATTCTGATTCATACTACAACATAGGTAAACCTTGAGAACATTACAGAGTGATCTAAGCAAGTCATGAAAGGATTCCAATGAGAGATACTTTCCTAGAGTAGTCAAATTCATGGAGTGCAGGGTTCTTGGCAGGGGACCAGGGAGAGGGGACCAGGGAGAGGGGACCAGGGGTAGGGGACCAGGGGTAGGGGACCAGGGGTAGGAGCCGGGTTGTTGTATTGAATGGTTAAGAGTTTCAAGCAGGGGAGAAGGTCTGCTAGGGATATAGGGAGGCTTGTGCAACAATGTGAATACCCTTCATGCCAGAGCTTAAATGGTTAAAATGCTAACTGTTGCTATAGATATTTTCCCACAATAACAATGTATAGGAATGAAAAGATACACTGCAGAACAGGTATTGGAGGGAGGCGGGGGGATGAAACTAAAGGAGGGGCATGAATGGATGCATGCTGGCGTCTGCAAGGGTCAACGCACAGGTGCTGAGGAATGGGATTGATTTAACCCTTGCAGCAGCGCTGCCGCTGTATGAGTTCAGTACTTATTAGTGAAAACGCTAGTCTTCTCAATTTGTTCCCAAGACAGCGACTGCAGCTTCCAGCTGGTGTGGGTCAGCCTGGGGGCACTCAGCCCATATGACAAAGACTGTCTCACCACGTCCGTCTGAGGCATTGGCAGGCTCAAGGATGGCCCCATCCGATGGCTGAGGGAATGGGGCAGGGCCTAATGCAATGCCACTTGTGGATCTGCCCTGTGCTAGGCTCTGGGCCTGGACTTGGAGGCTGTGGCCCTAATAACCTTCTCATGGTCTCTGCAATATGGCTGTTAACTGTTGCTGCTTCACGAAGGAGGGACCAGAGATGCAGGGAGTCGAGCTGCTAGGGGCCAAGGCAGGACTGGCCCCTCTGTCCCCAGTCCCCTCAGCAGGTTTTTGGGGTTGATCACAGAGTGCCTGGCAGATCAGGCTCTGGCAGAGGAGCTGGGTGAGGCACCATTCTGGGAGGGTAGCAGGCCCAGGGCCTCAGTGGGGGACAGGATGGGCCCATGGGCAGGCTGGAAGCCCATGGCAGAGCACAGGGAGCTCTTCTGAGTTCTCTTGCAGGAGCCTTTTCCCGGCCCTCAGAAATTA